AATATCATCTGGGGAATTAGAGAATCAATTACCTCAAACCCTGACTCATGTAGTCATTATAGTAAAAATAATTGATCAAAATCAATCAACAGTTTCAACATTAACATTATTATTGAGCAGAGAAACTTTGATTATAGAATTTATTTAAAATAATTTAATTTTTGAAATTGATTTTGAAATTATATAAAAATAAATTCAAAAAATTATAAAGGAATTTATAAAAATCAATTTAACAACTATGCAAAATCATAGAAAAATTATTGAATTAGTTGCAGTTAATGGTTATATTCCTATCTCTCTTGTCTTTCTCATTAATTTTTTATTAAACTATCATTATCGTATCGAAGAACAAGGAGAATTAAGACATATTAGTTATTTATAACGTATTGTGAATAATAGGATAATTATTCTATTGAGTAGAAACATTTATACCAATTTGCATATAAAATTCATGAAGAAATAACAAAAGAATTATTATTTTATTTATAGCATAAAGATGAGATGATAAAAATTCGTATAAATTGTGTATAAATTGTGCGCATAAAGTGTAAAATTGCAAAACTTACTTCTTTGGTATATTCCTTCATAATATTCATAATATGTGTGTCACTTTTTTTTGAATAATTTTTCTAATGACTTTTAATCCGAATGATGTCATTCAAAACAATATTTATCTAATATTAGAACTATTTACTCTGTAAAATTTAATTCATAATAATAAAGAAATATGATAAACAAAGTTATAATTTTGATTAGACTTATGATTTCAACTAATTTGAAATCATAATAATTTAAATATTATGAAATTTATTATGAACAATGTAACTAAAGTTGATGTTGAATTGATTTTGAATTTATTTTGAGTTCGTTTTTACAAATATTCTGAATGAAAAAAATCTTAAAGAACAATAATAACATTAATAATAATATTTAGAAGTTTCTCCTCATCCTTCTCATAAATTTTTATTAAAGTATCGAAGAACAAGGAGAATTAGAATGTATAAAATATTAATATGGTTATTTTTAAGAATTCTCATAAATATCATAAGAACATTACAATATGCCTTATGGTGTTATATAAATGTTATTGTCACAATAAAATATTTGCACGAAGTTCAACCCTATTTTTTTTTTTTTACCATGATACCCATCTCTTTCATAACAGTGTTCTAAAGTAGAATATAAATAATATATGTACATTGAATGATTTAGTGTCATTAATTACTTATAATATGGATTCTTTATTGGTCAAAACAAAGAAATAAGTGCCTTAGGTGTTTAGAAGAATTGGTTCAAAGATTGTATTGCTAAATTATCTTTTGCTTTGTGAGATTAAATTTTTTTTTAACAGATATGTTATACAGTTAAAACATTTGAGTTATAAAATTAATAATTATAGTAATTATTAATGCTTTCTGTCATACAATTTCTTATATCTCCAAACTATTAATTTCTTCTAATTCTTTTGTGATATTTGTTGATTTTGTGTATATGTATTTCAATTCTATTTGAAATATTCAAACTTCAATAATAATATTGTCATAAAATGAATTGTATTGTTTATTATGAATCTGAATTTTCTATTTTTACTGGCAATATCTTAAAAAGTAATACTTGTGCAATTTTATACAATTCCCCTTCTAATCAAATAATTGTATTTATTTAAAAAAGGGAACATTATTATTTTTCATCAATCTTTTGCAATCGCCGATTCGCATCCTTTGATAAATTCTTTATTTGTAATTCATCGGGGCAGCATTTCGAAAGCGTGCGATCTTTTGTCAAACTCTTATTTCATATTAAATGAACATGATTTTTTGGTTTTTTTGGTTTTTGATTATACTGAAATTTGAAATTCCAGTTTTTTCTTTCTTATACTATTTATTGTCATAGTTGATAAACTATATAACTGAATTTCCAATCCAATTGTTAATTGTGTAAGATGTATCTAGAGTTTCAAAACTCCTTTAGATCTAATTTGAAAATTCTAAATTATGAATCCATAAGTACTAAATCTATGTTCTGTTTCTTTCTTTTTATCTATTATTTGAATATAATATTTCTGTTTCAAATATCAAGAGTACTTCGTTACCAGTTTTGTATCTTAATTTTTGGAGGAGTGTTTTCTTTTGATTAATACCCTGAAGTTTTTGCAATGCTAAATTTAGACCGGAATCAATTGTTTTCTTTTTTTATCTAAATTTTTTGAAAAACTCTTGACATTAGCTGTGAATTTATTTATTGACTAAATCGTTCAGTTTATTTTTCTCGAAAGGAAGATGAAAAAATTATAAAATTATTTGGATTATCAATAATAGATAAATAGAATAACTAAGCCAAGCCATAACTTAAAGGAAAGAAATTGATGAAAAAGAAAATTATCTATTTGCAGTTTCGCCAATTAAGCAAATAATTGTAAATTATAATAAAAGTAAGTTTTTTTTTTATCTAGAAAAGGGAACATATTTCTAGATAAATTAACCAGAATCAAAATGCGCTATATTTTTATGTTTAACATCTATGTTTGTGATATGCTTTATTTCTATTGAGATTTATTAATTCTGAATCAAATGATAATATCGATGTTTAGGAAAGAATGTTTTGTTGCTTTCCTTTTTTTTTATTACTCATCGTTAGATATAGCTTAAAACGAACTTTAAATCTATTTATTTTTGTTGCTTCTGTTTTAATTTCTTTTAATATTAATATTAGAAAAAAGAGAAATTTGTTTATTAAATAATTTTGAAATGACAGAATATAAATTAAAATTTATCTTAAATCTCTTAATACTTTTTACATCGATATACTAGCTATATGTAAATAGAAAATTTTATTTTTTCAAAATAAAAAATAAATTTTCGAGGGATATCAAGATATTCGTCAATATATTTATTATCCAAAATATTTAATAATATTTAATAATTTTTAATAATTTTTAATAATTTGTAGAGATATCAAAGCATTAAATATTATTATAATTTTTATTTTATTTTTTAAAATATTGTTTAATATAGAAAAATTAAAGTTATGCTATCATATACTATGAATGTGTAAATAAAGCATTGAACAATAAGAAAAACTTAAACAAATAATATGTATCGTTCTTAGTTTCTATATATAAATTACTAACAATAATTATTATTTTCTAAAAAAAAAAATAAATTCCAGGGATAATATAATAAAATATAAAATAAAAACTTGATATAATTAATTAATTAAATTTCTGCAATATCTATAATATTTACATCTGGATTATATAAGATGAGAGATATTCCATACACCCTCCGTTCCTTTTATTAATGAATTTCTTCATTATTGGTGCATAAATTCGTTTTGCGTAGATTATTTTATTCTTAAATTTCCCTCCAAGCTTTTAATTATAGATTTAATAAAGCCTATTATGTAAAGGAAATCATCAAGAATTAATAAATAATAATTCTTTGATGTCAAAAAGTTAACGGTAAATTTTGATAAGAGATCATTTTCATACACAATCTTATAAGAAAATTGAATGGTAAAACTTTTATTTATTAATCAGGAATGCTTTATTTTTAAAAATCTCATATATTATGAAATTTATCATGATATATCTTATATATCTGAATCTTGATAATTCAAATTAATCTAATTATTCCGAGGTTGATATGAAAATGTGGCACATAATATTAAATTTTGGAAAAAAAGTTTGATTCATTTATAAAGAAATTAATTATATTGATTGATAGTGATAAAATAAAATTAAAGGAAAGAATATAAAAATAAATTTATTCCAAGAATTACAAAAATGTCCGCCAAAAAGTAATTTAATTCTATTATAAAAAAAAAAAATAGGAAAAAGAGACTTGTCTTATGTCCCACAGAAGAATATATACGCCAAAAATTATTATATATGCGCCAAAAAATACCAAGTACGCGGCCAAAAAAAAAAAAATCCGATGCGCGTCAAATAAATGTCCGATACGCGCAAAAAAAAATTGAAAATAAAAAATAATATATCTTGCGAGAATGTGCAGGAGTTTTATTTTATAAAGATTAAAAGAAAAATGTGTCAAATATAAATATCTCTAAAGATTTCCAAAAGTTTAAAAAAGTCTTTGAAGTTGGGTATAAGTAATATTCTCAAGATATTATTGATCTCACCTCTGAAACTATGATTAAAAATAGAACAGATAATAGAAGGATGAGTTAAAAAGAAAAAGATAAAATTTCAATCAGAGATCAATTAGCCACCTATTTATTGTTTTAAATCAGCTTGTTGATCAACAAAATTTTGTTTTATGATTTTATTTTGTTTTTTGATTTTGTTTTTTGATTTTATTTAATGCTATGCTATTGTTCCTAACATGTGAAATTATATTCGTGAAGAATTTAAGGAGTTCGAACAAAAATAAAATAGAATATATAAAATATATAGCTTTATAATAATAGTACGTAATTAATAATATATAATAATATATAGCTAATACAGTGAACCCTATATAAATGCACCCTCTATAAGTGCATCCCTTCTTAAATGCACCCTTTTTTCCAATCCCGCTTATTTTGATAAATGCTCCCATGTGATTTTAAATCATGTGAAATTATAATATGAATCATTCGTTTTTTTTTTATTGTTTTTTCTATTTTCAAGTTAAAAATAATTGGTTATTTATTTTAGAAAATATAATAATAAAAAAATAAAAAAAAAAGAACTTACCATTCTGCTATTTTTCCATCATTTCACCCTTTCGCCATTTTGTTGTTTACATGAAATTAATTGGGTATTTTATTATTTATATCATATTTATTTAATTAACTATGTGAAAAATTTTTTTATAAATGCACCCCTTTATTTTATAAATGCACCCCTTTATTTTATAAATGCACCCTATTGCACCGTAATAGAAAAATTCCTTTGTTCTTTTTTAGGTTTTAAAGTTACACAAATATATGTACACTGTAATAATTGAATATAAAAGATTTCTTTTTTTAATTATCAGTCAGTTAAGTAAATATTTAAGATGTCTAATATTAAACTTATTGGAATTTTTGTACTATCATTTTGTTTTTTATTAACGTTATATTTTAATATAATACCATACTCATTCAATGAAGATATTTCTAATATCGAAGAACCAAAATCCTCAAAAACTTCAGTCGAAACAATCAATTCAGAAATAATAAATTCAGATCCTCAGACAATTAATTCAGATTCATCTCAAATCGAAATTACTTCTGAACAATTCGAACAATTTCCTACACCTCAAACTATTAATCCTATTAATCCTGAATCACCATTACCAACAGAATATAATTCATCTTCATTAGAATCAATTTTATCCTTAATTCCTCCTTATACTTTTTACACTGCTCTCGAAAATTCCAAAAACTTAATTTTCATCGGAGATGTTCATGGCGCCCTTTCGGAATTACGAGATTTATTAAGATTAATTAATTATGATAACACGAAAGATCATTTAATTTTTGTGGGTGATCTAGTTGCCAAAGGTCCGAATTCAATTGAGGTTGTTGAATATATAAAGAATCTCTCTGAAAAAGGAGATGTGAGTTGCGTTCGTGGAAATCATGACCATAAAGTTTTGAGATCAAAAGTATTCTTAAATGCATTTGATTCAAATAATATTAAGTTGGATGAAGATGCTTATTATAATATACTGGAGGAATTGAATGTGAAGCAGGAACATTTGGATTTGGCAAGGTTTTATTTACAATATTATATAATTTATATAATTTTATCCTTAATCAATAATAATATCAATAATGATTAATAATAATTTTTCCTCACTTAATAACAATATTAATATCTAAAGAAACATAGATGAAGCATCATATGAATTTTTATTATCATGCCCAATTATAATAGAAATTCCCGAAGAAAGTTTATATGTTGTTCACGCTGGCCTCTTACCTAACATACCAATTGAAGAACAAAATCCCGACGATATTATGACCATGGTTTGTAAATGCTCAGTATATTTTAAGTATTTATAATGTACATATATTACAGTATATCTGATATTTTATCCAATATATATATATATATATATATTTTTATTGGAAATAGAGAAATATTAAATCAAATGGTCAACCAACAGATAAAAAAAAACCGGGAAAACCTTGGACAGACATTTGGAATTTATATCAAAAATCTTCTGATAATCCAAAATACATAATATATGGACATGATGCATCAAGAGGATTAACTATAAAAGATTATTCATTTGGATTGGATTCGAGGTGTGTCACTGGTGAAGATTTAACAGCATTATTATGGAGTAAAGATAAAACATTAATGAGTGTAAAATGTAAAAATTATATTAAAAAAGTTTAAAGATTCCAAAACTATTCTTACAGATATTTTTGTCTCACACAGATATAACTTGACATAGAAATAAACTACTAATACAGTAAAATTTAATGTTAAATAAATATTAATTCTGGGACAGTTAAATGTTTCATTTAGACTTATTTCTCGGAAAAAAATTTTAATCTCGTATGTTGTAAAAAGTAAATTTTGATAATCATTAATTTAATTTAATATTATAACGGTAAGTGCTAATATAATAATTTTAAATATTTTTAAAGCTAGGGGTATTATATATATTTTTATGTATTTTATGTATTTTATACTTGTATATTTATTTTAATTTAATAAATATAACACTATATTTATAAGACATGATGTTGTACAACTCATTTTTATAAATTATATTTATTTATTTAAATTTACATTTTAATATAGTTTAATATTATATCATAAAAAATATGAATGTTATAACAGATAACATGAAGTTAATGTAATAAATTTACACGTTGACTTTGAACATTTCCTTAGTAAACTGAGAGTTTAAGGGAAATAGAACATGATTTACACGATTGCATAATCCGAGAAGGTGTTTAGACAGTCTATTTTTAGGACCAATTTCTAGGACTTTTTCAGGAGCATAACGGGTGATCTTATTATGATCTTTTTTTGTTTTAAATCACGTAAACAATTACTAAATTCGGTTGCTTAAGAAATATTTTAAACCAAAAGTAAAAAATGTAAACATAAATCAATTATAAAAGACAAACGTTTTCGTCTTGATCGGAAAAATTTTCTGAAATTTTTGAAAATAGAAACCAGAACCTTTTGATAATTATAAGAAAAAATCTTTAATCAAATTCAAAATGCACGTACACTGTATTTATATTATCACAATGTTCGATCTTTCACGGTTTTCGTTGTTTAGAGAGTTCTCCGATAGTTTGTACGTCTTTATCGAAACATTATGTGATAATAGATAATTTAATCTCTCAAGAACTTTACATTTTCTGATATTTTCATTCTTTTTCAATATTTTGACGTGCTTTAATTATCCATATTTTAGAGCAAGGCCTATATTTTTTTATATCTACATTATATTTTTTTAATTAATTTTTGTGATTAGACGTTATCAATATTAAAAATATGGGATACTTTTAGTAATTGACTTTATCACCACTGCAATCCTATTTTTTTTTTATTCTTTGATTTTGCGGAGATATTTTATTAGCTCGGAATTTAATTAATCTTAATTTTTAATTTAATCTTTAATTTAATCTTCTCTTTCTCCTTGATTTAATAATCAGAAGAGCTTTTGGGATTTGGTTGAATAGTCTAGATAGTTTGATGAATGTGAAGGGATCTAAGGGAGGATTATAAAGGAGGGTAGGGTACACTTGGCTTTTTTCGAAATTTTATTCCAACTTCCCACACGCGATCAAGATTACAATGTATAATTCGACATTAGAATTTTCACAAATTAGTCATTATACATATAATCCGGATAACGCGCATCACACGCATTCAGAAATTACTGTATATCGCGGTATACACTTCCTTATTTCGCTTATTTCACGTATCAACGATAAATAACAGGAATTCAAAAAAGTTCGTTATCAACTTTTCAGGAAAGAATCTTCGACTTTTGAAGTAATTCACAAATTTAGACATTCAATAAAATTCTTGATAAAAATTGACTATCATTCACTTTACACCTATTTTCTTGAAAAAAAGGAACAAACTTACTCCATTACAGAAAAATTCATTATTATTGAATGAATTACAATGAATATTTTTGAGTAGAGAAATTATTCAGCGAAATGATATTTATTATATTTATTAGAATTTTGATTAATGAAATTTTTATTCAAATTATTTTTATCAATTTTACTTTTAAAAAGAAGAAAACACTTTATCTGAAGAATTTTTATTTTTCAAAATTTTACATCACATTTTATTTTAATTCCATTCCATTCTCAATTTCAAAAAATTATAAAAAATGCGGATGCACTCAGAAAACAAAAAATTGCATATATAGAACAAATACTAGATCTTAATATTATAATTATATAATATTATAAATATTTAATCTTAAAATAATGTTTTTATTATTTAATATAGATTAAATGTAAGCCTATTTTTATTAAGCTTTATGCACTCAAAATTACTTAAAATTCTGTAAAAGAAAACCCAAAATCCAATTTATTGATCAATTAACAATTTTTAGAACTCCTCAATTAGTTTTGATCAACATATATTTCAACATTTAATTTAGTGTAGGTTAGAATCATCACTTCATCAAACTTGATTTTGATTTTGAATTGTTATTCTTTCTTATTCTATTTATCTATCTGATCCAACTGCTCCATACAGTAAATCTTACTGAAGAGAAAGATCTTCTCTAAATACTATCTACCTGAAAAACCAATTTGAACAAAAACCACCAATGAATACTTACATTTTATATATATAATAATTATGATAAAAAGACTATCGATTATGGCATTTGGTAGTATTTTTAATAATACGTAATTGTGCCATTGTCCAAGAGGCAAAAGTTTGTTTTATTTAAAGATATTAATAAGAAATATAAAAGAGTTGTAATCAGAACCATCTTCAAAAAAGAGTTATTTAAACAGTCCAGTTTAGATAGAGCTACCTTCAACAAAATTCATAAAACCTTTTCTCAAATCCTTTTTTAGTCATTGTTGATATTTTCCTTATTCATATTTTTTTTTCATATTTTTTCATAATAAATTGTGTTCTCATTAATTTATACCTACTTGAAGTTTATAGGAATATACTTTCATATGTACAGTGTATTCCTATTATAATAATTTGTATTTTTAATTTACTAAGCTCTTTACTGCAAGCTTCTTTAATGCAGCAGTTTGTATCATTAATTTATACTTCCTTGAAGTTTATAGGAATATACTTTCATATGTACAGTGTATTCCTATTAGAATCATTTGTATTCTAAATTTATTAGGCTTCTCTTTACTGCATGATTCTTTAATTCAACAGTTTGCATCCTTATTTTTCATATTATTAAAGCTGCAAGCTTGTATTCTTTTTTCTTTAGAATGAAGGAATTTATATAAATATCTGTTAATTTATAATTAAAGCTATTACCACATTCACTTCGTTGAAATACATTAACAAATGAAATAAAGATGAGAATACATCATAAATTCTTATTGAATTTATTAAATAATTGGATATCGTATTATAAAATTATTACTCAAGGAATCCAGGATCAAACGACCAAGAAGATTGTTAATAATTTTTTTTGTAAATAAAAATTAAGATTTAATTTATGATTTTCATCAGAAGTAATAAATATAATTAGTATTTCAAAATCTCTATACTTCACGTTTTCACATTACATTCAACAAACAAAAAAAAATGAAAAAGAAAATGAAAAAATTGGAAGAATTGTATCTTTCTGTGCAATGTAAAGTGTTGACTTTATGATCTTTATCATATAGTTTATTCATTTTAGCTACTCTTTCATCTTCCAAAATCGTAATTATTATTACAAACAATTATTATCTAAGACAAAAAATAATCCTGTTATCCAATCCTCCAAAACTCATCTTCAAAGAAATGGTTTTTCGTTTAAAGAAATTAAAATCTTCTAACCATTTAACCATTTTAAGACTAAATCCTATCAAAAATTTTTACAAAAGCCATCTACCAAAGCAAGAAATAGAATAGGAAATGGGATAAGAAATAGAATAAATAATGAATATAATGATTCCTGGAAGATTTTGATAAAAATATAAATGCTGCGTGGAGAATTAGAATAATTTGCCTAATAGTTCTTCTCCGCATCTCTTTTAAAAACTTTTGTAATGATTTAAATGAATCCATATTAAATATCCTACGTGATTCATTCACAAATTAAATAAATTATAAGAAACTATGACCCGAAAGATTTCTGAGAAATTATTTATAAAACACTTCAGGAAAAATTTTATTTTTACTTTTATCTTCTCTGCAAGAAAAAAAAATTAAATTTATTTACACTGTAATCCAAATCCAAATTATAGTAGGTTTTTATCAAAATATTTATAATATTATTTTATCATTTCCCAGGAATTCAACAATGTATATTTCTACATAATTTTTTTTTTTTTTAATTTTTATTATCATTGAAAATATATATAGAAAATTCATCCAATGCATTATTGGACTATAAGTCAAATAATGCTTGATTCTTTATATTTTAATTGTATACATCACGTTATTAAATTTATTGCAGAATCCTAATATCATTTACAAAAATAACAAAAATTTCATTCATTATCAATAAAAGATTTAAGACATTATAAGAAATTATCAAGAAATTTATTTACATGAAACTTATGAAAATGAGATTATTGAAAAAAAGACAAATATGAAAAGTAAGAAATAGAATATCAGGGAAAGTAATTGCAATTTAAAAAATCTCGAATAAAATCTCGTTAATACACTCTTATTAGAATAAAGTTTATGCGCAATATTATTTGGTAGCATTTAAAACTGTAGACGACTACAAAATTAACAAACTTTATTAACGCCTAAAACGCCTGCATGAAAAACTGAAAACTATATTTTCTAGAGCCAATCCTAATTACTTCTATAAATCAAATTTGTTAAAAAACTTCGATAAAAAATCAATATTTAAGTGAAATGGCGACCATGTAATCAATGTTAACATGATGATGAAATACTTTATTTACTTCGAAATATAATCGCGGAAAAACTCTTGCATAATTGGCTTTTTTTATCATAGTTTAAAAAAGAAATATGGTAAAATTTACCTTATCAATTACGATAACTTGAGTCACATTCATAAAAATAACTTTATATTTTATCACCATCACCAAGTGATGATTATATTATATACTTTAGATAATTTGAATGAATGAAACAGGAGAAATCAAGAGTACAAATTTCTCTAATGAATCAAACAAAACAAGCAAGTTAACAGACTTTATCAAATACAGTGCGCGTCCTTATTTCCTTATTTCTTTAATACCAAATATTTATGGCTTTACTTTTTTTTTTATCAGACGTTCTTTTTCATGCATTAAAATGTTGCATAATAAATTATTTGATAAAACAATCATAATTAGGTTCTCGATTAAACTATATTAGACTCAATTAGCATAAATGACGATATTCACATTCAAATTTGGTAAATATCTTTTAACACAATTCATTATTATTTGTTTCAAGAACGCATTGGAGATTTTATGATAGATTAAATTTGACTTATTGATGCAATTTTTTTTCAAATAATCAACTTTTTTATAATAAACAAATAAAGAAATCATTTTGGAAAAACAAAATTTATTTCTTCTCATGAATGAATATCATATAAAATGAGTATCATTTAGAATCCGATTATATAAGCATTTTACTGAATTCATATTATTTGATTCACCAATTAGAAAAAATTCTAAGATTGAAAGACAATCAAATGCAAACGATGATTGTAAGAAATCTCGGTATATATAAAATTGTATCATATGAGAGAACACCTATCAATCATATTCACGTCAATAGATACAAAACAATATTTCTTTGAACAATATTTCCAAATTAAAATTTTACATTTTGTTATCAGTAATATGAAAAAAATGCAACTAAATATATCAGAAACTTCAACGCAAAACTTTTTTAGTAAGAAATATATTGATGATAAAATTTTTAATAGCAAAAATGGGATTCTATAATAGTTTGCATTGTTTACATGTTATCAAATAAAATATCATTTATGTAAACAAATATTAAATACGCATAAGCAAATAGTTTTTGGCAATTCATAAAAGTTCTTAATAACCTTTCCATTGTTAAAAATCATTTCCACCTCATTAAATGTTTACTCAGTTTGTTTTTATCTTATATTTCTTATTCTAGTGATATATAAAGTTTTATTTTTTAAATTAATATGAAACTTTAAATTGTTTAACATAATACAGAAGCTATAGAAATTATAGAAATGATTATTAACAAGATTCATGCGTAATACTTACATAATATTAAATCAAACCTGTTTATTCCATACGTCTCTATATTAAATAGGATGTGCGTCTTTAAATGTTAAATTTCGCCAATCAGCATTATTATTTTGGATCACTAAAATACTGAGTTCACAATATTATTATAATATACATAGTGAAGCATTTAGAACGCGTGTAATATGTGCATGTGTTATTAGATGTGATGATTTGCAAAATTTTG